TTCCATGCTCGGTGCTCTCACCACCAATGCATGGATGGACAGGCTGCTTTTAGGATTTTTTTCCTTTCAAGGATGCTCTGCCAAGAGGGGAAAAAACAACAGTTCAGTTTTTTCATTTTTGGGACCGCAGTCCCCCCCCCATTTCCCCCTGAGGCCGAGGGTCCAAGAACAGAGATCTTCTTCTCTGAAGACAGGAGACACCACCACAAACCTCCCTAACTTTTCTCTGTTTGCTCCACTTCTGTCTTTTCCCAGCTGAAGCATGGTCTCTTTGGCTCACCGGCATCCTCCTAAAATACAGTCTCTCTTGGAGCAGAAAATCAGTTCAGTCTGTGGGTACCAAGAAAATGTCCAGCCAAAAGCCACTCCATCATCTCCCCCCAACCTTCTTTCCCTCACAATCTCAGGTCCCAGGCTGTCTCTCTTTCCTTCAACTCAAGGAGGAGTAATATTTCACAAAGCCTTCATTTCTCAAGGAAGGGTTCAAAGTCCCGACTCCCAAGGATGGCTCGCTGCCCAGCTTCTCTGACTCTCACGGGCAGCTGGGCACCTTGCGGCCTCCCCGCTCTTCTCCTTCCCCGCGGTGAACTGCTGACAAAACCGCCGCTGCCTCTTTCTCTCTCTCTCTCTCAAGAGACTCTGGGGGGGGGGGACGCAGACATCCCAGATTTCTCCACCCTTCCATATGCAGGTGGCCAGCCCGGTTCAGTCCCCTCCACCCTTTGGCCTACCTCAAGCTGGGCCGCATGGGTCCCCTCCCCCACCCAGCCACAGGGCGGGCAGGGGAGAGTCCTGCACTGACCACTGACTGGAAACAAAGAGAGCGAGTTCTCCTGGGAATTCTGCTTTTAACCCCTCTGTGTTCTCAGAGGTGTGTCCACCTTCAATTGGTCACCCCAAGTGTCAGTATCCAAACCTGACCCCTGACTGGATTGACCTCTTCCTTCCAAGAAAATTCTTTTTCCGTGTCAAACCACGACAATATGACCAAGTAGAGCCGTCCAAAAAGGATGTGTCTGTTCAGACCCATTGCTGCCCAGAGTGTTTGAGCTTATCAGTGGTATCAGGGGGTGTTGTGGAGAAGGCCTGCCTACGGTGTGAACAAGTGAACGACCTCCTCTTGCTGGTGGCTGAGCTTAGGGAGGAAATTGAAAGATTAAGGAGTATCAGGGATAGTGAAAGGGAAATAGTCTGGTGGAGTTCAGCCCTTACATCTTTAAGGGAGGCCCACCAGGATTCAGAGTCTCACGCTCAGGCAATAGAGGGGCACCTGGTTGATGAAGGGGAGTGGAAATGGGTCCCTTCTTGGGGCAGTAGTGACAAAAATCCCTCCTGCCCCTCATCCCCTAGCCAGGTGCCACTTCAGAATAGGTATGAGGCCCTGGATCTAGAGAGCCAGACAGATAATTTAGAAGACAATTTTCTGCCCAGTGAGCCTCTCAATTATGACTCATCTAAAAAATGGATTACCACCTCTAACATAAAAAAAAAAAAGAAGGGTAATTGTAGGGGGTGATTCCCTTCTGAGGGGGACTGAGGGCGCCGTATGTCGACCAGACCCATCCCACAGAGAGGACTGATGCCTCCCTGGGGCCCAGGTGCAAAACATCACTGAAGGACTTCCTAGGTTGATTCAGTCCTCTGATTATTACCCACTGCTGATACTCCAGGCTGGCAGTGAGGAAATTGATAAGAGGAGTGTCAAGGCAATTAAAAGGGAGTTTAGGGCACTGGTTCAAGTGTTTGATAGGACAGGTGTACAGGTAGTGTTTTGTTCAGTCCCTTTGGTGGCAGAGAAAAATAATGAAAGGAATAGGAGAACTCACATAATTAACAAATGGCTCAAGGGTTGGTGTCATTGGCAAAATTTTGGATTCTTTGATCATGGAGCAACCTTTATGGCACCTGCTCTACTGGAATCAGATGGGATGCATCTCTCTGTTAAGGGTAGGAGGTTTTTAGCTCATGAACTGGCAGACCTTATTGAGAGGGCTTTAAACTAGGTCTGAAGGGGGAAGGGGATACCGCTGGGCTGTCTGGAAGCAAGCCCAAGGATGGTAAGACTGTGTTAGGGGAGAAATCAGTAGCCCGGCCGATGTGCATGTACAGCAATGCACACAGCATGGGTAACAAACAGGATGATCTGGAGGCCATGGTGCAGCAGCAGAGCTATGATGTAGTCACCATCACAGAAATGTGGTGGGATGACTCACATAGTTGGAGCACTGCACTGGATGGTCAAGCTCTTCAGAAGAGACAGGAAAGGGAGAAGAGGTGGAGGGGTGGCCCTTTGTATTAGGGAGGCTTTGGATGTCATAGGTATTGAAACTAATGATGATGAAGTTGAGTCCCTATGGGTAAAAATTAAGGGGAGGGCCAACAAGGCTGACATCCTACTGGGAGTCTGTTATAATCCACCCAACCAGGATGAAGAGGTGGACAATTTATTCTATAAGCAACTAAACAATGTTTCAGGATCATCAGCCCTTGTTCTTGTAGGTGACTTCAACCTACCAGACACCTGCTGGGAACTTAATACAGCAGAAAAACGGCAATCTAGAAAGTTTTTAGAGTGTGTGGAGGATAATTTTTTGTCACAACTGGTGGGCAAGCCCACCAGGGGAGGAACTATGTTAGACTTGTTGTTTACAAATAGAGATGGACTGGTGGGTGATGTGGAGGTTGGAGGCCGCTTGGGGCACAGTGATCATGAAATTATAGAATTCTCGATAATTGGTGAAATAAGGAGGAATATCAATAAGATCTCTACACTGGACTTCCGGAGGGCAGACTTTGGCCTGTTTAGGAGACTTATTCAGAGAGTTCCTTGGGAAAGAGCCCTTGAAAACAAAGGAGTCCAGGAGAGATGGGTGTGCTTCAAAGCAGAGATCTTGAGGGCACAAGAACAGACTGTTCCTGTGTGCCGAAAGATGAGTCGAAGAGGCAAACGTCCAGTCTGGATGAGAAATGAGGTTTTGAAGGAACTTAGAAATAAAAATATGTATTATCTCTTTAAGGAGGGACTGATTTCTCAGGAAGTATTTAAGGGATCTGCTAGGGCATGTAGGAAAAAAATTAGGGAGGCCAAAGCTCAGTTAGAACTTAACTTGGCAACTTCTGTTAAAAATAATAAAAAAAGGTTTTACAAATATATTAATGGTAAAAGGAAGGGTATAACCAACCTCGGTTCCTTATTGGATGAGGCAGGCAACCTAGTAACTAAAGATGAGGAAAAGGCGGAAATGCTTAATGCCTTCTTTGCCTCAGTCTTTAGTGGTAAGGCAGCCTGTCTTCAAGACAACTGTCCTCAGGGGTTGATAGGTGGTGCCAGGGAGCAGAATGGTCCTCTTGTTATCCAAGAGGAGGCAGTTAGAGAACTACTGGGACACTTGGATATTTATAAATCAATGGGACTAGATGGGACACACCCTAGGGTGATGAGGGAGCTGGCAGGTGTGCTTGTGAAGCCGCTTTCCATCATTTATCAGGAGACGTGGCTCACTGGTGAGGTCCCAGACGACTGGAAACTGGCCAATGTGACACCCATTTACAAAAAAGGTAGGAAGGAGGATCCTGGTAATTACAGCCGGTTAGCCTGACCTCAGTATCAGGTAAGATAATGGAACAGTTCATACTTAATGCTATCACACAGCACTTACAAGATGGCCAGGGTATCAGACCCAGTCAGCATGGGTTTACACATGGTAGGTCATGTCTGACCAACCTGGTCTCCTTCTATGACCAGGTGACTCGTCTGGTATTTGCAGGAAAGGCTGTGGATGTTGTCTATTTAGATTTCAGCAAGGCCTTTGATACTGTTTCCCACAGCACACTCCTGGAAAAGCTGCAGCCCACGGCTGGGCCAGGAGCACTCTGTGCTGGTTAGGAACTGGCTGGATGGCTGGGCCAGAGCGTGGTGGTGAGCGGTGCTGCATCCAGCTGGGGACAGGCACCAGTGGGGTCCCTCAGGGATCTGTGCTGGGACCAGTTCTATTTAATATTTTTACAGATGACATGGATGAAGGCATTGAATCCTTCATTAGTAAATTTGCAGACGATACTAAGCTGGGAGCTTGTGTTGATCTGTTGGAAGGAAGGAGGGCTCTGCAGAGAGATTTGGATCGATTGGACGGATGGGCAGAGTCCAACAGCATGAAGTTGACTAAGTCTAAGTGCTGAGTTCTGCATTTTAGACACAAAAATCCCCTACAGCATTACAGGTTGGGGACAGTGTGGCTGGACAGTGTCCAGGCAGAAAGGGACCTGGGGGTGCTGGTGGACAGCCGGTTGGATATGAGCCAGCAATGTGCCTCGGTGGCCAAGAAGGCCAATGGCTCCTGGCCTGCATTAGGAATTGTGTGACCAGCAGGAGTAGGGAGGTCATTCTTCCCCTGTACTCGGTGCTGGTGAGACCGCACCTTGAGTGCTGTGTCCAGTTCTGGGCCCCTCAGTTCAGGAAGGACATTGAGATGCTTGAGCACGTCCAGAGGAGGGCAACGAGGCTGGTGAGGGGCTTGGAACACAAGCCCTGTGAGGAATGTTTGAGGGAGTTGGGGTTGTTTAGCCTGGAGAAGAGGAGGCTTAGAGGTGACCATATTGCTCTCTACAGCTTCCTGAAGGGAGGCTGCAGACAGGTGGGGGTCGATCTCTTCCACTGGGCAGCAACTGGCAGAACAAGAGGACACAGTCTCAAGCTACGTCAGGGAAGGTTTAGGTTGGATATTAGGAAAAAAATTTTTCACTGAAAGAATAATAAAATACTGGCATTGTCTTCCTAGGGAGGTGGTGGAATCACCATCTCTGGATATGTTTTAAAAAAAGACTGGACTTGGCACTTGGTGCTATAGTCTAATTGTGGTGTTAGGGCATAGGTTGGACTTGATGATCTTAGAGGTCTCTTCCAACCTCATTATTCTGTGATTCTGTAATTCTGTACCTGGCCCGGGCTGCATACCTCCGTTTAAAAATGCCCCACCTTGATAGTTTAACACAGTCTGCACTGCAGGGTATTTTGTTTAATCAAAATGGGGGCCCTGCAGCTGGGAGTGGTGCAACACTGACACTGACCAGCTGCAGCACCCCAAGTTCTTCTGACATTGAGAGTGATGGTAAAGCACAGAAATCTTCTGACACTGTAGCCTCTATAACTGTAACAGGGTTTGGTTTCTCCTGACGGGAAATCTGAGTGAATCCTGTCACACTGATCGTTGTATTCCCGTGTCCCACAGCACAGGTTTCTGTAACTGTCCCTTCATTGACTCCGTTACGAGGCAGAGCCCATTGACAGAGTTCTGGCCACCCCACAGGGTGGGCCCTCCAAGGGAACCCCATTCCTCCCAACTTCAGCTGAGAACATACCCAGCAATTAGTGACACTGTGTGCTTTGGCTTCCGCGGTCTTTAAATTTTAAAAACATTTTTGATGACTGATCCCTTGGTGAAACTCTGGAGGTGTTTTGGCAAACGTCAGTAGTACTTTAGTGACACCGTTCTTCATTCTTTTTGCTCAATCTCATTCAAGTTAGGAACAATAATTCTGTTGTCCATGGAGCTGGCAACTTTTTAATTCCAGATTAATGCCCCCAAGGTCCTTTAGTGTTCAGCTTTACCATGTTGTCTGTGGGTAACAAGGCTTGGTGGGGCCCTTTCCTCTTTGGCTGGAAGAGGGCCAGGACCTCTACTTAAAGAAAAAAAAAGGAAAAAGAAAAAAAAACCAATTAGCTGAATTGTAAAAGATACAAATAAAATCCAAGTGTTAGTGAAACAACTTCTCTAACTTTGCATTAAGAGGTAAATGATCTTTTTAAAAAGAGAACTCAGTTATTTACATTGTAAATGTGCTGATGGCATGGATCCATCTTACTGACCTCAGCAGCCTTTTTTACAGTTTTTGGGGTTTGCTTCCAACATTGTTATTTTAAATTGTCATCAAAGCAATAGGAAATTGATTGGGGCCCTTCCAGCTCCAGGCAGGACTGGGAATCTAAACTCTGTCAAACCCCAAATCCTTTAGAAGATGACCTTCCTTCTCACTCTGGGAATGAGCTGCACATTCCCTCTGAAATTGTCAGGGGTTTCTCACGGATGAAAAATCCCACTTACGGCTTTTTGCTCTGGTTTGGAAGTGGGAAGGGCAATTCTCCATCCATCAGCTCCAGACTGCACTGCCTCAGGAACACGGCTCACTTGCCAGGTTTGGCCCACTCGTGGCACTTCTAGAGGAGGAAGAAAGTGCAACTGCACAATTCCAGCCAAAAAGAAATGAAGAATGAATAGTGGAGATCCAGGCGTTCCTGCGGAGATTCAGGGGTTCAGCTGGGACTATGGAGAGTTTGGGTCCTTGCCAATTGGATGTGTGTTCCCAGCTGCAATCTCCTGGCCTGCAGGGGAGTCTCACTCACCTGCCAAAGCAGAAAGCTCAGGCACTGTGCTCCAACGGGCTCGTCTGATGCAAAGCTGTCAGAGCAATGTGAGGGCAGAGCCAGCCCAGCTGTGCCCAGGGCAGAGCCCAGCAGAGCCCTGGCAGAGCCCAGAGCAGCCTCAGCACCCGCAGAGCCCGGCTGCAAGGAGAGAAACCAGAAACTGCCCGTCAGCTGAAGGCTGCTGTCCCCTTGTCCCAGCTGCCCACAGAGCCCAGGCCATGCTGGCTGTTCCCAGAGCTGTGCCCAGAGCTGCCCATCACTGCAGCCTTTGGGAGCAGAGCAGGAGGGCAGGACATTCCCAGCCTGCAGCCAGCCACGGCACATCCAGCCCCTCAGCAGCTGCCCAGAGCAAGAGCCTCCTTGTGCTTGTTGCTGTCTCCCAAAAGCTCTGATCCCACCATGCCAAGCAGATGGGGACTCACCTCACGCCATCCTCTGCTGGGAGAAAAGCTGGTCCCAAACGATGTCCTCAGCCTTCTCCAAGGGCACGGCCCATCCACGCTGCAGCTTCTCCCAAGCACTTCCCCACCCAGACTGGACCTTACATAGAAGGCTTCCTCTAGAAAAACAAACAACAAACTGTTGAAAAGAGATTAGAGACGAGGGGAAACAAGAAAAAATCTCTTATTTCTGTCAGGGGTCTGAGGAAGGTGTTGGGAAGGATGGATAAATATAATTGCCTGGCAAAAGATTTACAATAGTACAGCCAGGATGAAAACAATCCCCCCTACTGGCTGGACAATACCCTTACCTACAGATGGGTCCAAAAGCCAAAGGGACTGTTCCATCTCACCCCCCAGAATGTATGGTTCACCCCACACCTGTAACCCTCCCCTGAAACATCAAGTGTCTGTCACCCCACTGGCCCAAGTCTTGTTCCAGCCCACCTTGAAGCCCCCTGATAAGGGGTCTCCGGGGGGCCAGACGCCCTCTTGGAACTTCCTCCCTCCTCCTGGATCCCCCCTCCTGGAGTCCCTGCTCCCCGCTTTGTCTCACCCCTCACCCATCACTTCAGGCCTGGCCATGTGCTGTGTCTGGCAGCTCGAGGCAGGGCCTCTCTCCATCCCAAATAAACCTTATCCTCCAAGAGCAATCAGCAGAGATCTCTCGTCTGTATCCACCCAAACCGTCCGTGGAACCCTCTAACGTCATTACATCGCCCACCTTTCCTATCGTGCCCTGAATCCCCAGCTCCCACCCCTGATCCTGGTTTGGGGGATCCCACTCCCCTCCCACTCCTTTTGGGGCTCCCACCCTGCTTTCCTCCTTCTTACCCACATTTCCTATCACCTTCCCCTTCCTGTGGTCCCTGCTCACCAAGTTCCCTTGGCTCCCATCTGGGACGCTCCCAGCAGCACCAGTATGCCCCCAGCTGCCCCCACAGGCCCCATCCACAGCTCTGGGCCAGTGCTGACAGCCCAAAAGCAGCCGTGCTGTGCCATGGGAGGCTCCAAAATCATCCAATGCTGCTTGATGCTATCAGAAGAAATGCCTGGACAGAGCAGGTGAGACTTTGTGGAGTTTAAAGTCAACAAATCTCCTCTTCCCAATGAATTCCTGATGTTAGTCTCTGTCCTGATGGATGCTCCTGTTCCTGCCCCTGCATTCATCCAGGTACCCATGGGGATCCAGGAGGGCACAGAGAGCACCAGCCAGCTGTATTCCCAACATGGATCACTGGGAATGTGGGTCACCAGGGCTCTGCCCAAAGGGGATCTTCTGATGGGGGATGGAGTTGGAGCAGCAGACAAAGCTCTTCCTGCAGTCAGGGCCCTCACAGGGCTTCCCTTACCGGTGGCTCTGTTGGTGTTTGGTCAAGTGAGAGCTCCTGGAGAAGCTCTTCCCACACTCGGGACACTTGAAGGGACTCTCCCGGCTGTGGATGCGCCGGTGGGTGAGGAGGCTGAAGTTGCGGGTGAAGCCCTTCCCGCAGTCGGGGCAGCGGAAGGGCCTCTCCCCTGTGTGTGTGCGCTGGTGCTTGAGGAGATCCGAAGTGCTCCGAGCCTTTTTCCCACACTCAGAACACTCGTAGTGCCATTCCCCAGTGTGGATCTTCTGGTGGGAGGTCAGACTGCACCGAACGCTGAAGCTCTTCCCACATTCAAAGCACGTGTAGGGCCGTTCCCCGGTGTGCACGCGCAGGTGGGTGAGGAGGGTGGAGCTGTCTCTGAAGCTCTTCCCACATTCCCCACAGTTGTAGGGGTGTTTGTGTTCCCCCGTGTGGATCTTCTGGTGCGAGAGCAGGTGGGAATTCTTGCTGAAGCTCTTCCCACATTCCAAACACTTATAGGGCCGTATGCCCATGTGCACCCGCTGGTGGTGGAGGAGGTGGGAGCCGTGCCGGTACCTCTTCCCACATTCCCCACACTCATAGGGCCGCTCGCCTGTGTGCACACGAAGGTGGGCCAGGAGGTAGGATCTCCACCTGAAGCTCTTCTCACATTCTGAGCACTTGTGGAGCTTCTCCCCATCATGAAGCTGCTCATGGATCCCCAGCTCTGAGCTCTGGCTGCCTCCCTGGCCCAGGGTGGGTCTTTCCTCCTCAGATCTGCGCTTGCAGCCCCTCCTCCTGGGCTTTTCCTCCCCACTGGATTCCTGTGCCATGGAGCTGCTCAAAACGGCCTCTTCCACGAGGTTCTGCTGTGGGGACTTGTCCTCCCTGGTCTCCAGCCTCAGCTCCTTTTCTGGGGGAGAAAGGACAAGGAGAGCGTGGGATTTGCCTCAGGGAACACCAAGGAGATCTCTCCAATGCATCCCCAGCAGGACAGCATTCGCAGCGGGGTTGTCCTGCAGCCAGGGGCCATGCAGGGGTGAGAGATGGAGCAGGAGAGAGGGGGAAAGGGGCACTGACTTCTTCCACACCTGCCTGGGGCTCTTGGGGCATTTTCCTCTTCCTCACGGCCTCCTGCTCATCCATCCAGCCAAGGTTTGGGGGAAAGCAAGCTGTGAGAGTGTTGCTTGGGGATTCTCTCTGCCCAAGTGACTCTAGAAGTAACCGGACATTTTGTATCCATAAAAACCTTCAGATCAGCAAGATTTAGCTGAAAAAAAACCCTCAGAAATACCAAGACTGAGACCCTCAAGACTTGAATGGTTCATGATCATTCCAAAAAAAAACTTCTCAGGAGTTCCCCCTCTCTGGTCTCTCCACTCTGGACTTCTGGGGGTCCTGCATGTATTCAGGATTGTCCTCTCTGGGGTCCTCATCCTCTCCAGGCTGTCACGGGTCCCAGGAATCCCTGGGGTCCCCCCTCTCTGCTCTTCTGACCTTGGGCTTGTGGGGTTCCCCCTTCTCTGTGCTGCTGGGGGTTCCCTGCAGCTCCTGGGGGTTCCCTGGCTCCCCCTCTCTGGGCTCCCACCTAGCGACGCCGGGGCTCTTGGGGTCCCAGCGCTCCCCTTTCCCCGACTCTGCTCCAGGCTGTGGGGAGCTCCAGGGCTTCCCCCTCGCAGGGTGTTCCCGTCTCCGGGCTCAGTCCTGGGGATCTCCTCTCTCTGGGCTGCACGCTTCGGTGTCCCAGTGTTCTCCCCTCTGCCGCCCTCTACCACAGAAAAGCAACCTCCAGGGGCATCCCCCAAAATCTCCCCAAAGGCCGTTTGACCCTTAGCTTTGGAGTCCTTCGAGCTCCAGAAATCCCCCTCTCCCCTAAAAATACCCTCCCACGGAGCCCCCGGGATACCTGGGCGAGCTCCCCCTCCGCGGTCACCTGCGCCATGGTGGGGGGACAATGCCCCCGGGGGCGGGAGGGCTGCGGACACAGCGAGGGCTGGACCATGCGGTCCCCCTGCTCTCGCGGGGCTTTGGGAAGCGCTATCGGAGTTCAGGAGAGCAGTCAGTGACCCCACGGCGAATTACGAAGAGAGTCTTTCTCTGGCGCGAATTCCGTTTATTGTAATCCAACGGGGAATACAATAATTCAAAGGGAACCAGGCCAGCTGCGCCTGCATTTGCCGGAGAGGCGCGGGCGGGGCAGAACGCGCTGGAGCCAGTCAGAAGAAAGCCCGGAACAAACCGCGCGAACGAATTAAATACGGAACGGGGGAAAACGGAGCAGCCAGTGGGGTAACCGTGGGGGGTCCGAGGGTGGTGGGATACGGGGGTACATCCAATGAAAGACAGACAGGGGAAGGGTCCCAGGTCCTTTACCAATCACCCGGCATCCCGGGTGGAAGACTCTAGGTAGAGGGGAAGGGACACCGAGTGACAGACATGCATCTGGGGTAAACAGGGGGGTGACTTAGCATTTTTGGGGACAACGGACATGCGGGGAGAGGCGGGAAAACCCGGGCAAAACCGTTACAGAACCAGGGGTACATGGAACAAACCTGTACATAATACAAATGTAATAAAACATAAAAAACACAACTCCACAGGACAGGGAATACAGGACTGTCCTGGGTTGTAGGGTGTGGTGTGTGTATTCTATTCCTCATCTGATAGAGTTGGGGCAGTTATCTTCTGTTAATTGGGCAGTTTTGTTTATCTCTTCCACAACCAATCCTCCCTCTGGGGAGATACCTTCTGTTAATGGGCCACTAAATATCACTGCATGACTGATAAAATTACATCATCCCACTGTGAGATGATCCGCCCAAGGGAAGGAGCCAAGCATTCTTACCTAAATAAAACCTGAAATTTGGAACACCAGGGCAGCCTTCTCCCATTAAATTCCCAGAGGAGCAGCTGTCTTCTCCACAGGATTCCCAGAGGAAGACCAGGCCCTTTTACACCACCACCAGACCTTCAGAGGAAAACTACACTCTTCTACAGGACCACTGCTTCAACAGAACCACATCTGTCACTCCAGGAGGAATGCAGCCACCATTTAATCAGACTATGACCATCACCCTGACTAACAGGGTGTCAGGTTGGATTCTGACTCTGTCAGTGGTTTGGGTTGCTTTTTTTTTTTTTTTTTTTTTTTTTTTTTTTTTTTTTTGTACTTTTACATTTATATTTTTAATTTTCCTAGTAAAGAACTCTTATTCCTATTCCCATACCTTTGCCTGAGAACCCTTTAATTTCAAAATCATAAGAATTCAGAGGGTGGGGGATTACATTTCCATTTCAAGGAAGGCTCCTGCCTTCCTTAGCAGACACCTGTCTTTTCAAACCAAGACAGATTTTGGCACACAACATGATGCCCAAGGGCATTGACAGAAAAAGGAAGAAAAAGGAATAGCAGTTCTTGACCAATGTAATTTTTATGTGCTGATATAGAAACCTTGTTAAGTGTCACCATATGGTCCAGCTTACCCTGGTTTGGGTGGCACGGGCACGTGGCTGTATTTCTCCCTTTTGCAGGCCATTATCTAAAAATGAATCCTGTAACTAAGGCTTCTGTGGCTGTTATCCAGTTTGCTTTATAGGTTAATAAGGTGAGGGATTCATGGACTTTTAACTCCCTCTAGAAGGCAGGCACCTAGATTCAAAGCTACCACACACTAACTGTATGTCTTCGGGGTTACTTTAATAATGGTACCTACTGTAAAGAAATTACACTGGGGGAAATTTTCTCCCAACCCTTCAACCAGCCCTTTGCATCTGCCCCACCACTTTTCAAAGGGTTCAAATCTTCTCTAAATACTAATGATATCATACAGTTGTTGGTGTTGCTGATATGCCTGTTCTATTTGGCATTCAGAGATAAGGGAAGGTTGACTTCGATAACCACCCTGACACCTACCTCAGGAAGTAGGGATGTTGCCACAGAACCTGACACTGCCCTGAGGACTAAAGATGCTGCCCCAGAACCTGGCCTTGCCCCACAACTGTCGTGATCCGCTTAGAGGAGCAGGGTGTTGTGATGATTTGTTAACCGATGAAACAGAGTGAAAATTTGACAGGGTAGAAGAAATCCATTTGTATTTGTGTGAAATGTGCTGCTTTGAGCTTGCTAGCATAAGTAAAATATGGTGTTTAGTATGGTAGCCTTGCAGGACTAGTAAAACTGCCCCAGCTGAGAAGAAAGAATGCAAATTTCTAAACTGAAGAGATAAGAGAGGCTCCTTGAACCTTGAAACAGACAGGGCAGTCTGGGTCATATGTCCAGTGACCCAGGAGTTCTTTCTGTACTTTCTGATAAAAAACTGGCTACAAGTGCAACTAGCTATAAGTGTAATGGGAAATCAGCATAATGAATATGCATGAACCTATTGTGAAACACTATGCATATGCAAACTAGTAAAGAGGGTGAAAAAAGGGATCGAGAGTTGTCAGGGGTGCACATGTCCTTTGAAGGGGAAAGATCCCCACACACTGTAATAAACATAACATCCCTACAAATCTTTCTAGGAATTGTGGGGTTTTGATTTTTCATCTGTGTTTCATGGGAGCCCCAGGAAGATGCAGAGGAAGCCACTGCCCATTTTCCCCTCTGCCCTGCTCCATCTGCCAGCCCAGCGTGGCCCCCGGCTGCAGGACAACCATGCCACCAACTCCATCCTGACAGGGATGGATTGGAAAAATCTCTTTCTCCTTCCCTGAGGCATAAAAATAAATCTCCTTCCCTCCTTTCTTTCTTCCTTCCTTATTTCTCTCTTTTTTTCCTCCTTTTTCTTGTTTCTTCCTCCCTTGTGTTTCCTCCTCCAGACAAGGAGCTGAGGATGGAGAACAGGGAGAACAAATCCCCACGGCAGATCCTTGTGGAAGAGGTTGTTTGGAGAGGTTTGACAGTGAGGTAATTCAGTGGGGATACAAAGCCCCAGAGATCCCACATGAGGAGGGGCTCCAAACCCAGCCCAGGGAACCCCGAGAAGGAAAGACCCACCCTTGGCCAGGAAAGTGGCCGGAGATCCAGATGCAGCTCGGAGCTGGTGGCTCCTGAGCAGCTTCATGGCAGGGAGAAGCCCTACAAGTGCTTGGAATACAGGAAGAGCTTCAGACAGTGCTCCAGTCTCCTCACACACCTTTGGGTCCATGTGGACGGGATCCCCCACTGAGCAAGGCCAGATTTGAGCCGGAATATTGGGATTCCCAGAGCCAGGAAGGGAGTGCACCCAGCATATCCCCCACCGACCTGGAGATGCTGCAAGTCCCGTGCAGTCAGAACAAGGGCGAGCTGGGGGAGCCAGGGGCTGGGGGGATCCCAGGGAATAGGGATATTTGTGGGACTGGGATGGGACTTGTCCTCCTGCTCCTCACCATCCTGGGCTTCCCAGAGCCCAGTCACTCCCAGTATGGTCCCAGTTGCCCTCAGCATGGTTCCAATTGCTCCCTTTTGGTCCCAGTGTGGTACCAGTGGCTTCTGGTATAGTCCCAGCCACTCCCTGTATGATCCCAATCTCTTCCACCAGGATCTCAGTCACGACCAGTTCCGCTCAGTGTAGACTCAGTCACACCCACTCGCTCCCAGTTGCCTCCATCGTGGTTCCAGTTGTCCCCAGCCTAGTGCTGGTTGCTCCCAGTGTGGTCCCTGTCACCCCCAATAGGGTTACAGACACTTCCAATATATCCCAGTTACCCTCAGCATGCTTGGAGTCATTCCCAGTCACTCCCAGTATGATCTCCGTATGA